TGCTGGGATTCCCCTTGCTGAGGTCCAGGAAGGCAAAAAATGGAGGGAGGAGCTCAGGGCCCCCCTCCATTTTTTGCCTTCCAGAGCCCCAGAGGAGCTTTAGGGGAGCAAAAACACCCCCCAGAGGCTCTTCTGAGGCTAGGAAGCTCCCAAAAATGGGTGGGGGGTGCAAAAAAGTTTAAAAAAAAGCCACACCCACCCAGTCACATGGCCACACCCACAGAACTGGTAGTAAAAAAATTTGAATCCCACCACTGGGCTGGGCCCCACCTTATTCTACACTACTCTACTCCTCTCCGTACCCAATACCTTCTGAGAAACTGGCATACTTCCAAATAAAGCACCAGGAATCATTGTTATGTTCTATAATACCTACACTTTGCATTATTATTTGAGCCATGAAACCATGCAGGTTGTAAGATTTAGGTGTTGTTAAAAATGAATTTCCTCAATTAAGTTCCAATGCTAAGTTCATACTTCACTATGAAATACTCCTGCAAGTCCATTTATAAAGACTCATAGGAATAAAATTAAAACAATGCATCATATGTTAACATCTGGTATTAAAAAAACACATTGCCTTTAAGAGAGCGGCAGCACTAATGGCATTATGTATACATATAAGATGCCGAACACTGGCAAACAGATGACTACCTGTTATTTTTAAAAACCTCTACTAATTGTTAGACCTGGCAGGTGCCTCTGAGATTAAAGCATTTCCCTTAAGGCATTCATATTATCTTTTACTAAAATTACTTATATGTTGCAGCTTATTCTCCTACAGACTAGACAGAATTTACTCTATGCTTTTGATTGTTAAGATTTTTTTTATCAAGAAGTGCACCTTGAGACGAGGAAAGTAATCGAGTACTTTAAGAGAACAATGAGAAGTGACACTACATACAAAGTCCAATCCACATCATAGCATTATTACAATATTCTGTGAATATTCTATGACGTACATGTTTGGATTGTGACGAATCCTGTATGAACAAACAACAGAATGGAATCAAGATTCCACTCCACCTTCTTTCTCAATTCCTGAAAACCCTTCCTTATATTTTTGTGCATTATAGGCCAGGAAAATTTTTGGTAAAAAGCAGCCTATATAACTTTAAGGATTTGTTTTCTTTTAAATAAAAAAAACACTGTTATTTATTTATTAAACAAATTCAAGAAACACATATTATATTACAATTTATATAACTATACTATATAAATTGATATATATATAACAAAAAACAAAAATGTAATTGTCCAAATCACACATAAGTGACTCCAGGCAGCAATTGAACCTGCAGTCAAGTTCTTTATATATGAGAATATAACCTTGTGTATCCTGATCTGCTATTAACCCAGAAGTAATTCTATTTGATGTTATAGAATTTTCTCTATCAAAGAGTGAAGAAAGTTCAATTTGGAGACATTTGATCAAATCATTCAATCTAAACTTGATGTAATTTGGAAAGTTGACTAATTTGATCAAGTTACATTCATCCTTTTGGTTCAGGTCATGCTTCTCATCCTTTTGGTTCAGATTAAGAGTGTAATATTGCATACCTCTATTATTTAGTCATTTCATCTCCTTTTCCCCTTTTCTTCCATTTTTATCATCTTATCTGATGAATTGTAGAGTACTTGAAAGCTTTTACAGGTAGTACTTGACTTAGGACAATAACTGAACCTTGCAATTATGGTTGTAATTTATTTATTTATTTACTTAATTATGTACTTACTTATTTTGCTGCCCAACTCATTTCAAAGTGACTCTGGGCAGCTTACAGCATTAAAATCATAACAGATATTTATAAATCAATAAAAATTAAAATCAAAAATAGAATTATAGTTAAAAGATAGGGAGAGAGGGAACAGGATGACAGTCATAAAGCAAATGCTGCGGTTGTTAAGCAAACCTATTGATTGTTATGCAAAGGTTTTTTTTTCCAGAAACTAAAAAATGTCATAAATCATAGTCAGATGAACCTGGGGTGCTGCAAATGACTCTAAATGCAGGCTGGTTGCTGAGTCCGCCAAATGCAGTTATGTGACTGCCAGGAGGCAGAGATCACAACTTTGGAATCATATTGTAAATACCTTTTAGGGGGGAGGGGAGTCTGTCATAACTTCCAACAGTAGTTAAGTGACCAGTCATACTTTGAGGATACTTGTATCTCTTTTGTGATCTTGAATTGTTCTAATATGTATTCTGGAACATTCTTTTGGCCAACATGGCTTCTTGCGTTAGAATAGAATAGAATAGAACAGAATAGAATAGGAGTTTTTAGTATGCTAAAAATTGAGAGGTATATAGGTTGCTACAACTATGAAGCAATTCATTTCTTTTAGATAAGAGGTTGCTTAAAAGGACAGAAAGAATGAGATTAAAGTATATTTAATCTATTAAATATTTCTGCTATTTTATTTGCCCTTGTTACAGCTGCTTACTGCTGCCTTGCTGCAGAACTGAAAGAAGTCTTTGTTTTTTTCTTCAAATTATGGTTATTTTGTGATTCATAGTATTGTTTTGCATAGTTATCTCTAGTCACTTGATATGAGGAACAACATTCATAAATATTTTTATTCATCTTTGAAAGAATTGCTCATCACTTGGTTCTTATTTTGCACTCTTAAACCATGGTCCTCCCACTTGTTCTTCCCTGAGCGAAAAAAACACATAGAGAAAGCAGATTACAGCCACTTTAGCCTCTGAGCTGTGCTGAATTTTGCCACAGGGGCTTTGTCTTTCTATCTCTGCAGCTGGTCAACAACCTGAAAGCTTATCATTACTGCCTGCATTTTGTGGCTACAATATGCATTTTAGCTGCCCAACTGCCATTGCTGGGGGGAGCCCATCGTGCTGCTTTGCCCCCTCCAAACTCCCTTTCCCATACAATATTGCTTGCCGGCCTTATGCATTGGCTCATTCAAAGGAATGCAGCATGTCAACCCCCTCCCCGGTTCTCCTCCAGTTCCTCCAAATAATCCGGCCTCAAAGGCCGCGCTAACTGGGGATTATGGGTGCTGAAGTCCAACTCTGTTGGAGAGCCCCCGATTTGGGGAAGCTTGCTGGACCAGGTGGCTGTTCAGCCAGCCTCCTAGTGAGGATCCCGTCCCGACCGCATGGGAAAGCGGCCAGTTGGCTGGACCAAGAGCTGGATGTCGTCGCCCTTTTCTGTCCCCGCGGGCTCCGGGCGGAGCGGCCGGTCCTCGGAGGAGGCATCGCCGACGCGCACCGGCCACATCACCCGAGCTGGGAAGGGGGGGTTCCCGGCTTGTCACGCCCCTCGCCCCAGTCGACTTTAGCCGCGCCTGCTCAGTGGGGGCGGAGGCCCCGAGGAGCTGTCAGCAACTCCGTGGCCGCCGGGCAGGTTCCTTCTTCCTGTGAAGAGCGGGCAGCTTCTGGGCGCTGCGCCCGACGAAGGATGGCGAGCGGTGGCATCTGCTGCGAGAGGCCGAGGCCAGCCCCGCCGTCCCTGGCCAGGTAAACGTGGGGAGCGCGGAGGGCAGCTGGAGATGGTCGCCAAGGCGGGAGCCGATGGAGGGGATTCCCTGGCCTGGCGGGTCCCAGAAGGAAAGTAAGGCAATCGGGTTGGTTGGTCTTGGTTAGGAGGAAACGTGCCTTTCGCCTCCGTCACCCGGGCCGGGGCTTCCCCGGCTCCCTCTCTTTCCTTTCGGCTCTCCCCGCCCACCTGAGACACAAGAAGGTGGCAGCTTTCAGCTACCCTCCTTTTCTTTCTCAGTTCCCACGGATGGCAGATGCACTGAGATTTCATCCACGAGGCTCGGGTGGGTAGCCCTATGGTTTTGCACAACGTCCCGGGGGGGGGGGCATTCCTCGGGATCCTAAAAAGTAGGTCAATTCCTCCCTTCAAGAGTGTTAACTGTGTGGATATCACCCCCCCGCTTCGAATCGACCCCGTTGCCCTGTCTTCCCAGCTGGGGGCTTTGTTTGCTCAAAGAAGGGGCAAGTTCTACAATTCATTAAGTGTCTTAATGATGTTAGTCATAGTAGATTATGATAGGGTTACAACCAGGGATATGTGATACCTTTGTAATTTTTGCTGTTAGGGGTTGGAGAAGGAAAGCTCCAGGAGGTGAACTTGACCGATTCAAGGAAGTTCGGCAGAGAGCTCTTTAAAAGATTGTTGGCAATGCCACAATTCAAGGCCATGCATATAACTTGATAAAGGACACTCTGTGCTTTTTAATTTAGTATTTTTTGTTATTGGCATAAGTATGTATGCATTGGCTTAGCAATTTCTTGCTTATAAAAGATTAATGACTTGAAAGTACATAAAAGTCAGAAAAACAAGGAGATGTTGGGTTCAATGAAGCAGTAGGCAATAAACAGTTGGTTTAAAAAATAATTAACAGATGATGTTACTTATGGAGAATAAACTAGAAATAGATTAGAGATTAGAGATCATGGAGAGCATACTGGAAACATCACAAAAAAGTAGTGCGATAGTTTTCTGTGTACTTTATTCTCAGTTTTTACTTGAAGTTTAAATGTCGGGGGGCTGTCCTTCATCACTTATTTGATTGTATGAAGTTATATCTGTCTGGTTTTAATCTGGTTACCAGAATTTGTCACAAACTATAAATTCTACACCACAAACATTTGCAATTCAAAACTCAAGATTTTCCATCCAACAGCTCTGGCATGTTGGCTGCTGTTAGTCATTGAAGATTAGGTATCAAGGGAAGAAATTTTCATCAACTTTATTTCTAAATAATGTGGACTGAAATTCAATATACAATATATTGTTATAAAGATTCAGTTTTAAAAGCTGAAAGCCAGACAGATAAATATATTAAAGCTAAAAATTAAGGTTTAAGTTATTAAATGCTAATTTTCATTAGGCACTATTCTTTAAAAGATTGTTTCAGGTATGAATAACAACCTCAACAATATGGTACAGACTAAGCTTGTGACACTCTAAACTCTGTTTCTCAACTTTAGCCATTTTAAGTGTATGAACCTTAACTCCCAGAATTACCCAGCCAGAACGAGGAATTCTAGGAGTTGAGATCCACACATCTTAAAGTTGCTAAGTTTGAGAAACACTGTTCCAAGGTATTATAAAAAGTTATTTGAGCTAAATAAACTGCCATCTTATTGCCATTTTTCGTGGCTCTTTAAGCAAAATATAAAGGCACGGGTCAACTTCTTCTGTTGTGCAGATCCAATTCTTGTAATCAAGGACAACAGTATTGTCTTTTCATAACACATAGAAAGAACAAGGGTCTCCAAACTTGGCACGTTTAAGACTTCTGGACTTCAACTCCCAGAATTCCTGAACTATTCCTGGAGGAGGAATTCTGGGAGTTGAAGTCCACAAATCTTAAAGCTGTCAAGTTTGAAGACCCCGATATAGAAGCTTCCAAATTTACTATAAGAGGTGTACGTGATCCAATTAGCCTCCTACAGAAGTTTAGCACATCCTCTGACTAAACCCTTACAAGATGCATTGTAATCATGTTCTATCCCTTAAATTATGTGAACATATTCCATTTGGGAATATGCTGCTATGTCAATAGCACAAAACTGTAAGGAACAGGATTACAATGAATTAGAAATGAGGCGATGAATGAGACCATAATATTTTGGGAATGTAATCTGAAGCAGAGATAGGTAATCAGGACTTGATTAAAATGTGTACTGATTACATCAGGGGATAAATAATATTGTACAAAAGGCTCCTGAATATTTTGGATTTTTTTTATTTATTTATTTTCAGTTTAACATTTTAGACAGCTGTGATTACTTCTAATACTTCCTTGGCATTAAGAAGGATTACGAAACATGCTAGCTTTTTTATTTGGCAGAGAGAGGCCTTCAAAATTATGAAAACATAGCAGAGCTTAATTTCAGTGGTTTTCTGTTCCGTGAGTATCTGAACTTTGGCACTTTGAGTTACAATCAATAGTAAAATATTTTAATATCTCCTGGACATTAGAAAACATAATTTTTCTATGGAATTTTTTTCTTCTGCTTATCCTATACTAATAGATTTGGCCATCTTTGTTGTAAAATAAAAGGGAAGGTGAACTATTTACATCAAGGTTATTAACTTTAACTTTGGTTAAAAATTAGTATGGGACTCAAGAAACCTAAAACATTATCCTAGCAACTCTACTTCTTTTAAATTTGATTATTTCAAGGATGCCTACTTGCCTCTGAGCTCATTGTAATTCCTACTGAGGAAGCTTCTGTTATTGTTGTCTATTTTCTAGGTAGGATGTAGCAAAAAGCTTTGGAAAGAAGAGCTAAATCTAAAAAGGCAAAAGGGATGCTGCGGCCCTGGTTATGACTAGTATGCAGATGCTAAGATACTTACTCTTAGGAGTAAATTTCCATGGATGAAAAATGGTTTCACAAACCTCTTTTAGGGTGACCCTAGTTGTGTCATTTTTTCTTATTTGTCTCTGTCAAAATGTTTACCTTTCCCAACTTTAAAATGCCTGTGAAGACGGGGAAAATAACATCTGCTTGAGGCAAATATATTAGACACCTTATTTGCTCTGAGCTGTCAGATCATTAAAGTCAAACTCTGGATAAAGTTTCGGGTATTGGCAACTTGTCAGGTGTTAGTTATCACTTCTGCTTTTTACCAGTGGTTTTGTTCAATGTTCTTGAATTCTACTGCATTTTATCTCTTAGCTTAGTTTCTATTTCCCTGTAAGATGAAATGTTTAATACACTCTGTACTGATGACTTTGTACTCAATATATATGGCTGTTCTGCAGATACTGGAATTGTCCCAAACAATGCTGTTTTGGTACATAACTGTTTTGGTACAATGTCTTGTCAAATTGCAGCTTCCTGTTGTCTAATAAACCAAATAACAAGCCATGTTTGACTGTGTTTAGTGCTAAAACAAAGGATTTGATAAGCCATGGTTTTGCTCCTCCCCAGGGCTGCTACATCATCGAAATGTATGTAGTGAAAACATTGGAAACCTGTAACAGTCAGCATGATTTATTCAGTAGCTGGGAAGTTCACTCCATCCCACAATTTATATGTGCAGTTGAAAATGTCAGCAATGGATTGGATTCAAAACTATAGTTTGATTTGACATTTGAATTGATATAACATATCAAGAGAGGCCCTTCAGATATTGCTGTCTAAATTCTAGCATTCCTTACTGGACAGTGTGAGTGGGGAGATGAAGTTTATGAACATTTGGAAAGAAAGAAAGATTATATTTCATATATAGAGCTAATAAACAAATATACTTTAAGGAATTCCAGCAAGCGGGCTCAAGTAAAAGAACCTTATCTGAATCATGAGACCAGGGGTGGGATTCAATCAGTGTTACTACCGGTTCGGTGACTACTATATGCATGCACGTGTAAAAATCCTTATGCTGTGCTACCCGGACAGCTGAAAAGCGCTGTGCGCAAGTGTGCAGCATTTGAAAAGCACTTTTTCCCTGCTTTTTCAACCTCAGCTGTGCCGTGCAAAGCAGCTGAGGTTGAAAAAGTAGGAAATAAAGGACAGGTAAGAGCCCAGGCGGGCAGGTGGGCCAAACAACAGCAAACACAGAACTGGTTCGGTGTTTGCTGCTCTTCAGGGCTACCGGTACTATAGAGCCAGGCAGAACCGATAGCATTCCACCCCTGTATGAGTCCCTCTGCACAGTCATTCATGCCTTAGTGGATTACTTAGTGGATTACTGCAAAGCGCTCTACATGGGGCTACCCTTGAAGAATATTCGGAAGCTACAGCTGGTACAGAATGCAGAATGCACACAGTTCTGGGCGCCCCTAGGATGGCACATGAACACAGCTATTGCGTGAGCTTCATTGGTTACCAGTTTGCTTCTGAGTCCAATTCAAGGTGTTGGTTATTATCTTTAGTCCTATATGGCATGAGTCCAGAGTACCTAACCCAATGGGACTTTCCTGCCCCACTCGCTCCAGTGGAAGAGGCCTATTACAGAGCCATATGCTAAGTAATTACAGCAGGTGGGGTCAATGGGAAAAGACTTGCACTGTGGCTCCGGCCCTGTGGAACTCTCTGTCAATGGACAGAAGAAGTGCCCTATTTTTTAGGCCTTCTGGAAACTGGCTTTGTTGATTGGCCTGGGGGCGCTCACCATTGGAGGTGGCTGACAGGGTAAGAAGACCTCATCTGCACCTCATCCATCTCTTAATTCTAGTTTCAGTATGAATTTTGAAGTTTTAATTTGTGTGGTTTTAATATTTTAATTATTTCTCTACTTGTTTTTATACATTGTAAGCCATCCAGAATCACCTTATGTAGGGGAGATGGGTGGCATAAATATGAAACAAACAAACAAACAGATAAATAAACATTCAAGTTAGATATAATAATCTAGGTGGGAATAATGTGATCTGTATCCGTTTATAAAATCAGTGCAGTTCTTCAGATCAAGATGCAGATTCAGTCTCATTCTGCCCACCCATCTCTCCATGATTTAATTTGCTGTGCAATTAACTTTATCATTAAGTAATGAAAAGCCACTACTGTAAAATAAAGTACTTTAATAAAGTACTTTAGTACTTTAAAGATCAAGAAATATTTTCACAAATCAAAACAAAAATTTGCCTTATAGATCTTATTAGTTTGCCCATTCCCTAACATTTGAGCAAGTAACTTTGCTGAAAATCCTGGTATCTATGCAGCATCAAGAACACCATATAAAATGAGAAACCATTATGCTCACAGGATGTACTTATTTGCTAATCTGGTAAATGCCTAAGTAGACTGTTAATCTGGCTAATGAAAATAGTTTATGATCTGAGCCATGGGGCATACTTAATGCAGACAATGGAATTGTCAGTAATCCAATTTGGCAGGAAGAATGAAGAATTAACAGGATTACTAATCATATAAAGATCTGGCAGGAATTTAAGTTAAATTTAGCACACTCAGAAATGATAAAAATCACTGGATGCTTCTACAGTCTATATACCTTGCAAGAGCAAGTCTAAACTTCAAATCTCATGGCTATAAATGTTATTTCTAATGACAATATTGTTTTACTTTAGAAAATTTTACTCCAAAATTATGAATGATGCAAAAGGATGATCTTCTTTATTATTTATAGTAAGAATATCCAATATATATTGTTTGTTTCTCAAATGAATCAATAATCCTTTAAGTGTAAAAAGATTTTCAACTGTTTCTTTCATTATATATTGCTCCTTTCATTATATTGATGCCTGATCTCCACTTAATTAAACATTGCCTACTTCTGATTGCATAATTTGGCTTATATAAAACATATTAAGCATTAACGAAAGTTCTTCACCTAGTAACTTTTAGTTTTTAATTAACAATGCAAAAAGCACTATGAAAAAATATTACCATTTAAATTGCTAAAATGAAGTTGGAACACCTTCAAAGAAAATAAAAGGCACATTTGGCTTCTGTTTGATTATTTTTCTCATGCATTGATTTCTTTAATCACAATCAGTAATAAAATTTAAATTATCAGTACAATTCCATTTATTTGTTAGGGGGATTTTCCAATTCTTAGTACATTGGCAGAAGATATTGCATTTGAGCTATATAAAAAAGTGATCTCAGAGCTGTGCTTTCTTGCTTTGGAAAACACTTGCTTGCCAAAATTATTTTATAACTTGAAACAGGCTCAGTGTCACTGCCTTCGACTTTATATCTGATTTGTGTGTCCTTTAGCAGGATTTTTTATGGTGGTGTTGGTGTGAATGCAGAAATGACCCTTTATTGTGATTGTGGATTAAGGAGATTAAGGAGCTCATTGTTCACTGAAGACACATTGAAAACTTCTTAATTTTACAACACAGGACTGATTTAACCATAGTTTCACCTGGTAAATTGTGAACATCCTAGACTAAGACAAATCCAAAAAATGCTAGGATATTTCTGGAAGCTTGGTATTTGGACTAATCACCTATCAGTAGACACATAGAGATAAATCACATTTACACACCATTCAAAATTGACAATTAAAAAAAAGATTAGAAGGAAACAAAAATACCTGAATGTATCTTCTCCAGCAGCAAAAACCTAGATAAACAGGGATTAACAGTAGACAAACAAGCAGAAAACAATAACCTAATCAAGAAACTACCAAGAAGAAAAACAACACCCCCAACAACATTCATAGGGCAAGCTATTGTATATAAATAGGAGTGAATCCCACACTCAACTAACACTAATGATATTTCCTAGTTGGATAATGAAACATCTGCAAGCAAACCACCAAGTTTAGAGAACACCAAAGACTAGTTCAATTGAGTTTATATACAGTATTCTCTGAAATTATCATTGTGTCTTCATATTTTCTCCTGAGTTGTACTTGTGTAGTGGATTTAGCAGTAATATAACTCAAGGATGTAATTGTGTTGTTAGAATGCAAAAATATTATAAACAACTCAAAAGAAAACTATAAAGTATGAGAAATAGTAAATTAATTAATTTTGCTATTGTTTTTCAGATTTAAACTGGGTTATGGAATTGTTCAAGATCAAAAAGTGATAAAAAGAACATTTTCTACATAGTAGGCAAAAAAAGTCAGTTTGTGTTCCTGTATAACTATACAATTTGTTGTGAGCTGAAGTGATTATCAAAACAACATTTTCAAAACAGTATGACTAATTGTAAAGGCAGATCTGTCAGCAAGAAAAGAAATGATAAAGCCTATCATGGAGAAGGTTTTGTAAATTGGACTATAAATCTAAATGCAATTCAGTCCGACAAATTCTTGAACTTACTGTTGAGTATGGTTCCAATTGTTTATCACAAAACCCAAGAAGAGAGACATAAGAAAGTAAATAGTCTCTGGCAAGATGGATTGCAGCCATCAGGACATAATTTCAGTATTAGGACTGATCAACACATGGATTATCATCACTTTTCAGAATCAGCCTATCATGGAAGTAATGGACATAATTCATCAAGCTGTAGCCCAAAGTATGATAACTTTGCAAGTTACAATTATTCAGATGGGACTCACTCCTCAGAAATGGATGCTATGCTGCAGGACAACCATTTATCTAGCGACAGTGATGAAACCTCTCCCATTATGGAAGGAAATAGAAAACAGCCCAAGGAATCTAGTAGCATTATGGCATTACAGATACTTGTACCATTCTTGCTAGCAGGATTCGGAACAGTGTCTGCAGGGATGGTTCTAGATATTGTTCAGGTAGGTATTTGCTTATCATATAATACTGTAAACATGATGCTTCTGGACTAGGACTTTAGATAGTGTCATCTTTATAACACTTCCATGGTTCCTCACAATTTCTGCTTTTTTCCTACTTGAATAAACTATGGAATCGCAGTACACTGGCAAAATTTTTGACTTCATTCAAAATCTCTGGAATTTTAATGCATGTAGGTGGGTAGGAAAAGATCTGTTTTCTCACTTTATTGTAATTTAAGTCTAATTAGTAGAAGTAAGAACTGTAGATTCAGGGAAACCCAAAGATACTTCTTGATGGATTTAACTGTGGCATTTTATATTTTTTAAAATATACTAAAGATGAGGAGGAGTGCCTTATTTATGGTTATGTCCATGTTTTCAGATAGGGTGATGATGTGGGTTTTTTTGAAACATGACTAGTTTCAGTAGCGATACAGATTTTTGAATCTCTCCAAGTTTTGATTCAGATTTCAAACTTCTAACCATGTTTATCCACAACTGTCTACTGAGGATGTGTTGGAGATTCACAGAATTATAGCATTGGGAGGGTTACTTTGAACTACTCTGTGGAGTCCCTGTTCAGTTAAGATATCTAAGCTAAAATATCCTAGACAGATGGTTTGTCTAGCCTCTGCTTGAAGCCACCCTCTGAAGAGAAATCATCTCTTTTCTTGATAAATAATTTTACAGTAAAAATGTTTTATTACTAGATACTTCCTTAACATTCAATTAGAATGTCCTTTCCTATAATATGAGGGGGCATGGTGACTCAGTGGTTGAGACACAGGGCTTGTTGGCTGGAAAACCAGCAGCTCAGGTTTGAGACCCGAGCTCCACAGGATGGGGTGAGCTCCAGACCTCACCCCAACTCCTGCCAACCTAACAGTTCAAAAGCATGCAAATATAAGTATATAAATAGGTCCCAGTTTGGTGGAAAGGTAACAGTGCTCTGTGATGTCATGCTGACCACAGAAATATCTTTGGAAATGCTGGCTTAATGGCTTTGAAACAGAGATGAGCACCACCCCTATAGTTTATTTATTTATTTATTTGATTTGCCAATTGTTTACAAGATAATAAGTATAAATGTATACATAGTTGTGAATACATGAAATGGGTACATATAAGAAAAATAAAAGAATAAGAGAAACAATAGGACAGGGACGGTAGGCACGTTGAATAAACCCCCTCCCCAATAACTTAAATTCATTATGTCTCTTAATAAATAGTGCAGAATAGCTTTTCTTATGCATGACATCCTGTTAGATGTTGAAGTTGCTATTATAACTTCCTACAGTCTTTTCTTTGCAAAACAACTTCCTACTTGCTGTCTATCTTCATAATAGTCTTAGTTCTTCATTCCTTAAACATCTGTATTATCCTTCTCCAAATCTGTTTGTTTCAGACTTGACAAGCAGTCTAACAGTCTGTTCAGTTTATCTGAATTTTTTTAAAGTGGGGTTTCTGTTCAGTATGATTCAGTTTAATTTTTTATATATATAATGATGTTGGAATGGCTGGTCTGTTTCTTTTTTAAAATAGGATAACATTTACTTTCTACAAGGCATTTCAGCTGTGTCCCGATTTTCGTAAAGATAATGTATAAAAGTTGAGCCAGGCCAGCAGCATGTTATTTTAGTATTCCACAATGCAATTTATTCTGCTCGAAACAATTGCTTGGTGGAACACACTCTTGTTAGCAACATTGGGTCTAAGAGCTGTCCTTTCTTTGATTTTTGCCATCTACACTGGGCAGATGGTTTACTGTTTTTTTAAAAACAAGTATTTGCTATTGTTCTTAACATCCTTAATATCAATCTAGGTTAATTCTGAGTTTTGGTGTTCCTGTCACCATTACAACAATTCTGGGCTATTCATACTCTTCTTTTTTCTTTTTTTTTTTTTGGCAAACTGTCCCTGTTTTATTCATTTTCAGATTTTAGTATGGCTACACTAAGCTCTTTGTGTAGCCATATTTGTTGTCTTCTGCTTTCTTCCGTGCTTTATTTTTACTGGAGTGGTTTACAATTGTGTTTTTAATATCTCCCTTTTTAGAAAATCTTACCCTATTGACCCAAATCTTTCATGTTAATTTCTCCTCTCACATAATTTTCATTGCTTTGAATTTATTAAAATCTGAAAGGTCCAAGATATCAGTATAACTATATTCAACTTTACTTTCCTAAGAAATCAAGAATTCTAGCATTATGGTATCACTTTCCAGCAGAATTCCTCTTCTTTCCACTTCCTTGATTAATTCTTCTCCATTGGTTCATATCAAGTCAAGAATAGCTGATATTGGTTGGGCCTTCCTTCCTTCATCCTCTGGAGAAGAAAGTTATCAACAAAGCAAACAGAAATTCCCAGGAAGTACCATGCTTGACAGAGTTTAAGTTCCCTCATCATCCTTTCATGTCAGTTAGAAAAAAGTATATTTGTTTTAGAAATCATCATCCATATATTATCCTTGACTGGGCAGGCAATTGTAGATATTGACAGTGTCAGTATTGTTTTTATTAATTCTCCATCTATTTTAATACAAGGGCCAAATGATTTTTGTTGGATACAAGCAGCTGCAGATGTAGTTTTTCTATGTTATATCATGGAAAGTGATAACTTTTGGTGGAATTGGAAAATACAGAAGCTATTTTGTCACATTGCTAGTAGACAGCACACTTCCTTGAGCTGATGGGTTAGAATAGACCCAGATTTGTTTTGGTTCCTCATTAGTATTGAATCATTAACTTCGAGAATACTCATATTCTTCTTGCAGAGTCCAAGAAAAAAAAATCCTTCTGCCCTTCAGGGAATAATTATCTTGTGTCCTGATCAGTGTCTCCTTTTCTTTCCCTGAAGGCTTAGTGTTATTTTATTTATTTTTTATTTTTGCAAGGACTTGAAACTGTTTCTGAATTCCAGAGATGCATATTTTCTGTGTCACATCCAGGGGTGGGATTCTACTGGTTCTGTCCACTTCTGTAGAACCAGTTGCTCTGAAGAGCAGCAAACAGAGAGCATACATAGAACCGGTTCAAATGTTTGCTGCTGTTTTGGCCCACCCGCCTGCCCGGGCTCTTACCTTACCTTTATTTCCTGCGTTTTCAACCGCAGCTGCTTTGCGCGACACAGCTGCGGTTGAAAAAGCAGGAAAAGGGGCTTTTCCAACTGCTGTGCACTTGCACTCAGCGCTGCTCAGCTATCCGGGCAGCTCAGCAGGTCGTAAATTACACTCACGCAGAGCAACAGAACCGGTAGTTATACGGGCTGGATCCCATCCCTGGTCACATCTATTTGCCACTCTTGACTTTCAGTTTGCTTGATTGTCTTTTATAGAGAATTGCTTCCTGCTTCAGTTTTTATAGCATCGTCTACTTTTTTTCCTGATAAATCTTCATCTTTTCTCATTAATAGAGAAGCCATAGAGGTTGGCCGCTACTTATTGCTAATTATCAGGCTTTCTGCTTTTTTTTCCTTTCGTCTACTTACTGCAAATCTATGCCATTCTAAGTGAGAAGCATAAACATGTAACAAGTATTGCAGGAAATGGCTGTTGAATCCTGCCTATTCATACTCATGTTCGTCTTTTGAACTATCACTAATAAAAAGCTTTTGTTTTTTGCTTGGTTAACCAAGTGCATGTACCATACATTTGTAACAGAACCTGGCAGATCCCTTCCTGGAATTTCCACCCTCTCTTCCCCCTCTACCTAAGTTCCAGTTCCAGCCTTGTAGCTTTTTTCTTCACATTCATCTAGGTAGGTTGTGATTCTGCCATCACCTGTTCTAGAATAGGGAGATGGTCCTCCTTTTTACCCAGAGTTTGGATGGCAGAAAAGAAAACAGGAGATATTCCTCCCTCAGAAGTAAGGTATAATTAAATGGCTCCATTTAAGTACCAGTTATCAAGTCCAAGTGTTTTTTTGAGAACATGGTGTTAGTATGAATCCAACACAAGAGTAACAATAGGTTGACTATTTCATTTTATTTGTACTCTTAAATGAGAATCAGTGGTATAAGGTTATTCACCATTAGTTCGGGAAAAAAAGGCCTCATATTTTGTAAAGCAGCTAACCATTAGTCGGTAAGAAAAGTTTAATAATGTAATAACTTAGCTTGGGCAATATAGCTCCCACAAATAACAATATTTATTATTGTTGAATAGCATTGGGAAGTGTTCCGAAACATTACTGAAGTTTTCATCTTGGTTCCTGCATTACTTGGTTTGAAGGGTAATCTGGAAATGACTTTGGCATCTCGACTATCAACAGCAGTAAGTTTGGGTAACATTTTGAGGTTGATAACAGGGATGGGCTGCTGGGGGTTCACAGAGGTTTGGGAGATCCTCTAGCTAAGATTCTGCACAGTTTGGAAAACCCCCAAATCCTGTTCTGACCAAGGCTTCCTGAGACAGTAACAATCATACGCTTAGTCCCCAAAACTCTGTTTATTTCAATGGCTGTTAATTATATTCATTCACAGCCTGTAATGAGTCCCAAACAGTTTGTGAATAGTCCAACAAAAGTCTGCCACAGTCTTTTTGGGATAAGGCTGATAAGCACCCATCTTTATCTCCCTTGAAATGCTGCCTAAATTCCCAATTAGCTGTACAAGGCCAAACGGAGCACAAAGTCAACACGGAGCTTCAGAGTTTAAACTGATCAGAATGAACAAAGTTGCTTCCTGCAAAGGCTCATGTCCCTTTTGCTCCTCCTTTATGTCTTATGGGAGGGGCCAATCATCTCTAAGCCTTACTCCCAAGTCGCCCCTTTTGTCTTAACTGTTCTTGTCTTCTGGCAGCTCTGCGCAAGCGCGCACTGGGAATAGGTTCACTCTGTTCCTCTGCCTCGCTGATAACAGATTCTGGAGATTCCAGAGTCAGCACATAACTCACCTCTAAAGACAACTAAGAGGTGACTATCTGTATATCTGTAGCTCTTTTCCCAGGTAATTACCCTGTTTCCCAAAAAATACAATCTACCTAAAGTAAGTCCTAGCTTGATTTTCACACGTGCGCCCAATATAAGCCCTACCCCCAAAATAAGCCCTAATGAAGACTCCGCCCACTCTAGAGTGGACGGGTAAAAATTAAGCTAGGGTGGAGATGGTGGGGGTGGAACTGCCCTACTACTTACCTTTGGATAGTTGTAGCCAGGCCTCACACACCCCAAAACCTGCCTTGCCGGCCCATTTTTTCTGCAGTCGGCAAGGTTAGCAAGGCTTTCCTGAAGACCTCTGTAGCTGATAACAAAGCTCTGGATCAATCCGGAGCTCTGTTATCCGCTGCAGAGGCCTTCAGGAAAGCCTTGCTGACCGCAGAAGAAAAAGTTTCTGAAGGCCTCTGGCAATGAAAAGGAGGCCAGGGGCAATGCATGCAAGTCAGTGAATGACATCCCCTGAAAATAAGACCTGGCGCCTTTTTTGGTGGCAAAAAAAATAAGACAGTGTCTTATTTTCAGGGAAACACAATATGTACTAGATGAAGAAATAGTTCATTGTTTATATATTTCCCACTATTTAGTTTCACTTGCTTCTGACTTTCTCCACAAAATAATGCATGGTTTGTTGGAATCTGATTGTTTTATCATATTTCCCTTTATTTACTTTTTACCTAAACTAACCACCTCTCTGGGGGATATTGCTCCAGCATATTTGTCATTTTAGTGATTTATCATTTAATCAAGTTATTACCAAGGAGGAAACTACATTCCCACGAAAACTGGCAGAGCAAGCTAAATGCCAAAGTCACTCACACTATTGATGCTATCTAGTTAGAAAATGAAATGCCTGCAAATAAACAACTCAACTCAGAGAGGGCCAACAACTCAACAATTTATTATTAATCCAAATTACAATACACTTTCTAAAATGCACTAAGCAGAACTGAGTTAATATGCTGATTTTTGCAGTTATACTTTATTTTGCAGCTTTATGCTTTATTTTTGCAGAATTTTTACAGGATTTATATATGATAATATATGGTATTTTGCCATTTTTTTCATACCTCCACATTCTGAGGTAACATTTTTACTGAGGTAAACAGGATCACCCCAAGGTCTCATTTTGATCAGCCACTCATTGTGCACCACTGTACATTTGCCAACAATGTTTATTTGCCAGTTCCTGTGGGAAATAGGCATCCTCATGATCTTCAGTTAGTCTTATAGCATTTTCATACACAGAAACTTAATATCGAAACTGTTGGGATGCTGCAATGGTCATGTGAAAAACAGTCATAAGTCACTTTTTTCAGTGCCATTGTAACTTTGAATGGTCACTAAATGAACTGTTGTAAGTCAAGGATTGCCTATACAAAAGTACAAAAACCTTATTTGCTTGCAAAAAACTGCCCTAAATACCAATCATTAGATTAAAAATACCTGCAAGCCGGAGTTACAAATCAGGCAAGGTGCCAGAGCACCTTGAGGAATTAAAATAGCTAAAATGCAATGATAACTATCAGCAGCCAACTCTTGCTCATAAAGTGAAACCCAGAGGTCATTTAAGCTCTCCAGAAAGAGCACACCCAGGAAAAACAATCCTTAGAACCATTTGCACCACTTAAAGATACTAGCTGGTCTCCCTCACCTCACAAGATATCCTAAGGAAAGCATCCAGATTTAAGGAAAGGTCACATGCCCCCCAGAAAAGCAGTAAAAAAATCAGTGCCAAGCTTGCATCCTGCCTCTTGGAAGTACACCCCAAAAGGACAGTGCCAGATACCACTAAAGCAGTGAAGGAAGACCCCCGCTCCCCAGATAGAAAAAGAAACCATGAGGCAGGAAAAAATTCAAACACAATACAAATCAAAGCTGAATAGGGAAAATTATCAATAAACGCAGGATTAAACATCACCAAGGACAGAATTAAACTTCATCAAAAAGTTTTAGACCAAAACTTAGAAAGGGTTTGTAAACTCACATTTGAATGTCAATCTTTCTAGCTAGCCAAGAAACCTTGCTGAATATCTTGGTTCCTTGTCATTAAAAGCTCCTTTCCGGTTATTCAATTATTTCTTCAAAGTGCTGATTATTGCATGTGGCTGGATGTATATCCAGGGGAGTATCTCCTCCCAACAGCAGTGTAAAAAGCTTAAAACAACCCTTACCCTTTAAGAAAGTTAAAAAAAAAAACCTTCTGAGACAGTAAGTCTACGCATACTGCCAAGAATGTAATAAGGATGGAAAAAAACAAAAGGAGATTTCTTCTAACTACCTGTTCTCCCAACTCCTTAGAAAGTTAACAAGGGGTTCTATAGAACCGGTCAGAACTAGTAGAATCCCACCCCTGCATCCAACCCAAGGTGTGCTCATTGTTGCCCTTTTCGCCTTGCATAGAAGCACTCAGCTAGCACCCTACTGAAAAAGCTTGATAACATTAGGAAAAGGGGCTATTATTAAAATTCAATGTTCAATTCTTTAAAATAATGATCAGGAAATGCATTAAGGTTGTTCCGTTGTTAAAACAGTTTATTGATTTTCATAGGTAAATGTCGGGAAAATGGATTCACCCATTGAGAAGTGGAATCTAATAATTGGTAATTTGGCTTTAAAACAGGTAAGGTCATTAAAAGAAGTCATTACAACTCTGTTTCTATTCATTTTGGAAGCAAGGAGAAGTAGTATAAGAAAAATCCCTCCCTGATTAATCCAGTGATGGTTTGCTTCTGTGTCTATAGCTGAGACTAGGGATCTTACAGGGCAGTTGAAATCTGGGAAAGTTCCTGGACATAATTTCATTCTTCGAGAGTTGCTAAAAGAAAATAAAGTTTGATAGAGATCCAAAGTTGACTGTTTTTTAAAAACTTATTTTAAGTAAATAATATAGCCCCTTTTTCATCTGAGTGGAAGGAGGTCATAGCTATCCCTCTTTATAAGAATACAAGAAATAGATTTAACCCTGCCAACTATAGACCAAAGAGCTTGCTTAACACAGTAAGCAATTATATGTGAAGTATCTTTTGTCGGGGTTCCGGCGATAGCCCTAATTATGAGCCTCGAGCCAAGCTTCAAAATAATTCAAAAGATTTATTAGGAGCAACATGTTGGCATTAACCTAAATGAAGCCAACTCTGACATACGTAATTTACAGTCCTAGACATAGACAAACAGGCATAGGAATGTTTTATGAGTTGACATCTTCATTTAAAACTCCTGGATTGGTTCCAAAGTGAAAATATTTGTGTTCAGGACTAAACAGGATTTAGAGGAGACCATTCAACCTTAGACAACTGGTCTTGTACCATTTCGCCCAAAGACACACTTTTTTGCAGCTTTTGTGGATTTCAAATCAGCTTTTGATCTGATTCCAAGGAAGAGGCCATGGGAAAAACATCAGGAATCTTCAATGGTTAAAAAAAACTGCTCCTTCTTATTCAAACTCTTTATTCTAACATCTCATTGAGAGTCAGATGTTCTCATTGGGGGCACCTATCTGTTGCTATTTCTATCAAAATAAAAGGCAAGGGTGTATTCTAGCCTCCCCCTTTTAATATGAACATCAGTTCAGTAATTAAAGCTCTCTATCATCTAATCATCATCTTCCAATGTTAGCAGATTGTGAAATTCCCAGCTTGCCACATTTAGAGAACATTTTCTCAGTTTTCCAGGTAGCAGTGAGGGGGGGCATTGATGGCACTGGCTTCCTTTTACCTTAAAGAACAATTACCAAATTACCAAAATAAAAATAAAAATTGAGTGCTAGTGTTTGCATGACACAACAATAGGTTAGATAAATGGCAAGTTCTACGTTTATTTTGGGCACACATTTCTCTTATCAACCAAGTTAGCCCAGTATAGCTCCACAGCTGTCTTAAGAGTCTTCTATTCAAACCAGGCACATTTTATTCCTGCAGCTAGCAAAGTTTTTCTTGCTAAGGTCATCTCAGTTTCTTCAGGGTGTACCGATTTGCATTTTTTACGAAGTTTAATAGCTTGGAAGCAGTCCAGTCCAAATTTATAAAAGCCGTGCTTGCAGTTCCAAATGCATCTAGAATCTTAGTATGGTTTCCATGGCTGCCAGAACCTGGTTCTGTCGCTTTACTTTTGGGATGAAATTGATGTTTTCTCTATTGAGTCTGGGTCCACTGGTTCTCAGGGACTGTTTTACATCAACCTGGCTAACAAAAACTAATAGTAAACTGCAGACCCTAGATTTCTCTCTGGAAATTGTTCATTGGGGTTTGCATCTGAAATGTTAATACTAGTTTAAGCCTAGTATCCAACCCCACAGATTATGGATTCTTCTTATAGGGGCATGAATCATCATTTTGTCTTCTCTTCATTTCTAATTCTGAAATTTCATGGGGTTTTTACTTTGACCAGGCTGGATGTACTACTGCAGGGATGTCAAAGTCAAGGCGCGCAGGTTGGATCTGGCCCAAGGGTTGCTTAAATCTGGCCTATGGGGCCAGCCTGCAAATATCAAAGGACAGGCCAGCCAAAATGGGCCTTGGTGGGGGGGGCTTATGAGGCCTCTGTGAGGCCCATTTTCGGCCTCCAGCAGCACTCTGCTGGCCAAAAACGGGCCGCATGGAGGTCTCATGGAACCTCTGTGCAGCCCGTTTTCGGCCAGCTGGGTGCTGCAGGAGGCATCCATACCAGCTCCCCCCATCCATTCCCCACCACCCCACAAAGGAAAACTACAATGCTGATCTGGCCCTTGAAGAAATCCAGTTTGACACCCCTGTACTACTGTCTTCAGTTTTGTGAAAGACGTATAAAAACGTTCCTTTTCAGCAGTGCTTATGCCCATGTGGAGGTGGTTCTGTGAAATCCATAAACTTTTGTTAGGCTATCTAAAGGGATTCTTGGATGACATATTTTTATCCTATTTTAAAGAGAGCGCAATATCTGTCAAGTGTTTTTTTTACCTGAGCAGGACCCTGGTATCTCTTTCCAGGTTGTCTAATTTTGGGCTACCATTTGTTACTTGTGTCCTTCCTTGCTGCAGCTGAGGTTTGGCAAAATTTTTCATGATTGCTACTGCTATCTGTATTGCAGTTATTATAATAACTTATGTATTTTTATTGGATTTTTAAAAAGTTTTATTAATAATCATTACAGATATATGTGTTTTATTGTGTGACCATAATAAGCGAGTGGTGACAATGATGGTAGAAGTGTAGGAAATGTTGACATTTGATGACAGTGCTATAAACACTAATAGGGGAAAGGTGAGGCCAATATTCCTGATTGTCTGTCAAAACTGAGAGTACACCATTTCAACAATCACATCACAACGTATATTTTATCAGTTGCATCAAGATGTGATAACTAAATTGGCAGAAGTGGTAGATCATCTTGAGTATTTTGGATATAGTGAATTGGGCCTATTAAACGCACGTGCTGTCCAATTTGTCCATTGTATCTGAAAGCCCATTAAATCTCCATTTAGTAAACCAAGGATTCATTGCATTGATGGTTGCTTAATTTCCTCAGTATTACCCTCAATTTTATAGAGAGCTGTGTATAAACTCCATTGTGTTTACATACCTTTTCTCATGTTAAATATTTATTGTTATTTTGTAGGTACAAGCAACAGTAGTTGGCTTTTTGGCAGCTATGGCAGCAGTCATACTGGGTTGGATTCCTGAAGGGAAATACCATCTTGATCACTCAATTATTTTGTGTTCTAGCAGTGTAGCAACAGCCTTCATAGCATCACTCTTACAGGGTAAAAAAAAATGTAATCTTTTAAATGTAAACACCATTAATTTTAACATTATTAATATTATGCAATTTAAAGAAAGAGCAAGGCTAAGTTCACTAGACTCCTGTGTAATAATAGATAGCATATGGTAGATGGCTCTTTCCATAAGTACAAATGAACCAATAACAATTGCATTTTGCATTTATAATATTTATTTATTTATTACTTTCATTGATAACCATTGTTTTTTATTTGCCCACATTTGTCATTGAACCTATATACCATAACTCTTGCCAACTATCAAACATAAATCTTTTTTTTATTAACATAAACATTTGAATTTAATCTGAGCCTACCAGAACTTTTAAATTATTTTCCTCTTTGGCTAGAAGATTAATTATTTTTATTATCATTGAATTGTATTGTTTTATTGATATATTATCATTATTATCAAAGTCCATTGCAATGAACAACTATCATAAATTAATACCTATAATAAGTATCATTGTTACATGGATGATAGATCCACACTTAAGTGAATGTACAATCTAAAATTCAATTTAAGAATATCAGCAGAACAGGAAAAGAAAAAAAACAAGAGAAAGACAGAATGGAAAATCTGGTTGAAGAATATAAATGTATTTCTATTATAGAAACAGAGCTAATTTAGAACAATGGACAATTAATAGTTTCTCAGTACATTAGTGGTAAATGAAGTAGTTTTAGTCATTCTTTTCTGAGGTACTTTCATAACTTGTCTAAATTATCTTTTTAGTGGTTTTGCTATAAACATATCTAATGGCATTATTAACATTATATGTTACTTTGATTAAGAAGTGACACTATAAATTTGTGGGTTGTTAGTTAGAAACACAATACCTTGACATTTGAAAGAACAGTACATTAAATATAGTTGATCTGTGCAAATGTATCCAAAGCAGAGATGAGTGTCAGTGGAATCTTTGTTTAACAACTTTATCAATTGTGGGTTTCATCTGTACTACCTCTAAAATGATGATTAAAGTACTTAACACAAAGCATTTTTTCAAAACACGTAATTTTTAAACATAATAATGATAAAGATGGTAATAAAATAGCCTATAATTGAAATTAGAAATAAAGAACATTTTTATTTGAACTCTTATGCTCTTCTGTTTTCAAATATAGAGTTACAGCATAAGAATTGACCTACTTTCTATTACAATGGTTCTAGGCATAATAATGGTTGGTGTTATTGTTGGGTCTAAGAAGACTGGCATAAATCCTGACAATGTTGCAACACCTATCGCAGCCAGCTTTGGAGACCTAATCACTCTTGCCATTTTGGCATGGATAAGTCAGGGTTTATATGATTGCCTTGGTAAGTATTCTTTCTTTCACACTCCTTGTAAGAATGAATTTGCCGATTCCAAGTATCTTAACTCCCAGCCATCCCCTTGAATATGTTTTCTTTGAGTAATATTTTGACAGGAAAACTTTTAAGAGTTCGCTTACTTGAAACTAAATGTGTTTCCAGATATCACAGATATGTCAGCATGAGATTAAATGACATTAAATGGAATCCATTTTTATATTGTTAATGGGCACTTTTAATAAGAAAATAAAAATAAAACTGAAGAAATATCTGGAAAACACAGGGTTTATAAATAGCAATAGCACTCAGACTTATGTACCGCTTCACAGTACTTTTACAGCCCTCTCTAAGTGGTTTAAAGAGTCAGTATATTGCCTCTGGGTCCTCATTTTACCGACTTTGGAAGGATGGAAGGCTGAATCAACCTTGAACCGGTGAGAATCAAACTGCTGGCAGCCAGCAGTCAGCAGAAGTAGCCTGCAGAACTGCATTCTAACCACTGCTCAGTGAATGAAATGAAAGATGTATGAAAGAATAAGATAAGGTGATTGAACAATAAGTGTTGAAAGTATTCAGTTCAATTGATTTTATACTACAGATAGTCCTCAACTTACGACTTCGTTTAGTGACTGTTTGAAGTTACAACGGCACTGAAAAAAGTGACTTATAATCATTTTCCACACTTGCGGCCTTTGCAGCATCCCCCTTAGTCACGTGATCAAAATTTGGAAGTTTGGCAATTGGCATGTATTTATCACAGTTGGAGCTTATTTGGTTCATGTGATAACCTTCTGTGACCTTCTCACAAGCAAAGTCAATGGGAAGCCAGATTCCCTTAACAACTGTGTTACTGACTTCACAGCTGCAGTGATTCACATAACAACTGTGGCAAGAAAGGTCATAAAATGGGGCAAAAGTCACTTAAGAACCATCTTGCTTTAGCAAGGGAAATTTTGGGCTCAATTGTGATTGAGGAGTACCTGTGTTCTCTTTTAATATCCTTTTAAAACACTAGAGGGTGCTGTTGGGTTGCAGTTTGAATAGCTTGAGAAAGCTTTTGTAGATAGTAACTCACATTAAATACACCTCAGATTAAAATATAAACATGAGATACATTTAATATTTTAATTGTAATTGTTTAAGTGTAATTATTTCTGGAAAGAAGTGCTCTAAATATCAATTATCATAATGCCTTTGCATTGTTGTTTTTATTTAGTTGTATTCTGATAATTTTGGAGTGTATTGTTTTGTGCACCTCTTAGGGTTGTTACAATACAGGCAAATTATGTAAATCTTTTAAAATAAATAAGCAAACAATGGTAACTATTTTCACTGTCAGTTATAATTTCTGATACAAACTTTTGGTATAACCTTTCTTGAGTTTACTGCTTTCTAGTCTAGATTACAGCCCTTTAAGCATCCTCTCTAAGTACTAATTAGGCCCAGCCCTTTCAGCTCTTGATAAAGTTAGCTGGATACTATCACCTTCTGAAATAATCCTATGGTGAATCCTACTATGGAAATAGTAGAAAATGTTATTAGCAGAAGAACTCTAGAACCCATAAGCATTGTGAATTTTCAGTAAGAGTTCACTCTAAAAATTTGGTGATAAGATCAAACTTGTGTTCTCAATAACCTTTCTTTGTTCCTTTAGCAATCCGCTTTTATTTTAAATGGTTGCTTTGATCTTGCCATACCTGGGCTACACTATATTTTCTTCTGAGACTAGGAATTATGAAAATTCTATTATCAAATGTAGAACAGTAGGTTAATCTGAATAATAAGATACTAGCTTAAACAGTATTAAAACATGCAAGCTATAAAGTAAGCAGTAATACAGAGTAAAAGCAATACAAAAGTTTAAGCATCATTAATTTTAGATATCAGAGAAAGTAAAAAAAAAGATTAGAATGGTTTGTGATAGATGTACCAGATGGTGTCTACAGTTATTCAGGTATAAAACAGTGTTTTTTAACCATAAGATATATGTTAGCAATTAAGCCTCATTAATAACAAAGGATGTTATAATTAATAATTATATTTATAATGGGTGAAAATTGCCAGAAAAGTTTCAGTCTGAAATAAAATCCTCATAAAAACTAGTAACTAATTTCCTCAGAATTTTATAACTCCTAACATTTTGTTTTAATTCTAGAGAACTATTATTATATATCTCCTTTAGTTGGTGCCTTTTTCTTGGCTCTGACTCCTATGTGGATTATAATTGCTGCTAAGCATCCAGCTACAAGAATAGTCCTCCATTCCGGATGGGAACCTGTTATAACTGCAATGGTCATTAGCAGGTAAGGCGATTTAATGTCATTTAGAACAGCGGTCGCCAACCGGTGGGCTCTGGCCCACCGGTGGGCCGTGAGAAAATTTTGGTGGGCCGCAGAGAAATCTCACCCCCAGAGCACCCCCCAAAGCAATTAATCCAGGCTGCACAGAAACACAAGGCTACGCTGCCCACATGGCCCGCAGGAACCCTCCCTGCCCACTCACTCCTTACCCGGTAAACTTGCCTGCTAAATTTCTATTTTTCCTTTTTCCAACCTTCATCTGTTCTGCTGTGCCGGGAGATTTAGATTAGCTAGGAAGCAGGAAATGGTTGGATTTCTTGCTTTCTAGCTAGTCTTTAGATCTTCGGCTCTGCTTTTAAGTACAGCCGAACCTCCCTTAGGACTGAAGGTTTGCTTGCAAGCAAATTCAGTGCAGACTCACGGCAAGCAAATTTGAGAGACTGAGCTAGCCGATGGCAGATAGATAGATCACTGAATGATAAATGAAATAAAGTAAGATGCTGGGAAAGGATACACAATTACATAACAACTTCTGAAGGCAAGCCACTCCACTGGCTAATTCTCATTGTCAGGAAATTTCTCCTTAGTTCTAGACTGGATCTCTGTTTAATGATTACTCCTTCTTTTACTCTTGGGTGCTTTGGATAATAGGTCAACACCTTCTTTGGGACAGTACCTCACATATAGGAAAATTGCTCTCATGTCACCACTAATCCTTCTTTTCATTAGATTAGCCATTCCTAATTTTCTCAATCATCATTGGAATGTTTCCACTTCAAAATGCTTTACACACCCCTTATAAATAACAAGCTTTCCAAAATGAAGGCACCCTGTACAATTTTAAGGTACAGCGAGAAGAGATGCTTCTTTTTTGGATTTAAGATGTACAAGGCTTTAAAAGTGAATATGATCTTGAGTGGATTTCTGCAGGCACATTTAATTTTTAAATTTATTGTACATTTTATTTATTGCTATTTCAGTTTTCTGTTGGCAGATTTTACAATAAAACATAAGTAAATGAATTATTTATTTATTTATTTATTAAATTTGGTTGCCATCCATCTCGCTACAAATATGTACAGTATGTTCAAACTCAACTTCTCTAGCACAGTTCAATATTTTATAGGTATGTTATATTGAATGATGACTAATGAATATTTCCTGTTGTGTTAGATTGATTCTTAGAAACAATACAGGAAAATGTGTAACAGACATACATAGCTTCCAAATTATTTCTGTTTTGTTTATGAAGCCACAATATCATTCATTTAAATAGCTTTTGCAGTCTGACTAGCCCTGTCTGAAATTTCAATTTTCTTTTTCAGTATTGGTGGCCTTATTCTGGATACAACTGTATCTGATCCTAATTTGGTTGGGATTGTTGTTTATACTCCAGTAATCAATGGTAAGGGAGACATGGAATTTCTTAAAATTGCTGTGGTTCACTGCATGCTAGCTAGGTAAAAAAATATTGCAGACCAAATCAAGACATAAGTGGGTGGGTATGTACTACTGTAAAGTCACACTGTAATTTTAGAGTAAAAACAGGTCCTGGTTTTCTGTTGTGAAAAGATAAATATACATTCAGGGATCAAATGGGAATAAAAAATATACTTTTAAACTTCACATAGTTTATATATTTAGATCCCAGATACATATTTTAAAACATTGTCTTAGACATTTCTATGTACTGCTATGTAAAGATTTCTTTGAACATTATACAGATACAGACACAAATATACACATAGTAATAACTCCGTAACATTGTAATAATCAGTATGGATGCCTAAGTAGTTATATTTCAGTGCACATACTATACAGTGCAATTCTTTCTGTATAGTTTGAATTTTCACATATATTTAATGTACAATTGTTAGAATGAAAAAAACTCTGTTATCTGGCCACCCATGTTAATCAAATAACTGTGGGTGGCTAATGTGTTTACAAACAAAATATACATACAGACATAGTAAACATAATAATAAAAGATACTAGGTAAAAAATAATCATGCTGTCTACCAGCAGAGCAAAACATCCAAATTGGGCTCTATTAACACTCTGGTCCTAAAGTATGAGAGAAAAGCCACGGTTTTAAGAACTTCCAGCAGGCCAACTTTGTGGGGGGTGGGGCTGGGGATTGGTGGGTATGTACATGCATGCCCACACAGTCATAAAGATATGTGGAATACTACATACAACAATCACGCAAAACGTTTTATATCGGGGTGTGAAACTGGCGGCCTGTGGGCTGGATTCATCACATGCAGGCCACGCGCAACCCAGCTCCGCAAAGGGGACAAACATCGCGAAACGTCACGTGACGGCAACGTGATGCAGCGAGTTTGACATCTGTGTTTTATATCATATGAAGTGAAATTACAATTTTCATAGCCAGGACCAGGAATCATATTCACTACATACATTAGCATTAGTTCTACTTTTAGTATGTTAGACAAAGATCTGTTTTATAAATACAATGCATTCTTAAGCCGATTCCTCTGGTTTAGTTTTTCTCTTTCATGTAGCTCCCGCTATACTTTTATCATGACATAAATATGCTGGCAACAGTAATAAGCTGTTGGCTAATACAGGTAATCCTCAACTTATGACTACAGTTGTGACCAGAATTTCCATAGTTAAGCAAGCAAGGTGGTGTTGAAGTGAGTTTTGCCCAATTTTATGACCTTTTTTGCTATAGTTATTACGCAAATCACAGCAGTTGTTAGGTGACTCACATGGCCGTTAAGCAAATCCAGCTTCCCTCATTAACTTTGCTTGTAGGGCCTGGCTGGGAAAGTCAATAATAGTGAACAGGTGACCGTGGGACATTGCCACGGTCATAAATAGATGCCAGCTGCCAAGGGCCCAAATTTTGATTATATGACCGTGGCTGCAAGAGTCAGAAGGCTGACGATTGGTCAAAAGTCATTTTTTTCAGTGCCATTGTAACTTCAAACGGTCGCTAAACAAATGATTGTAAGTCAAGGACTACCTGTAATCACAAAGCAATAAGACACAGTTATGCATTGAGTAGGGCAGCAATAAAACATTAGATAAGGACACACAAAAAAGGTGTTAGATCTATTTCTTAGCCTTATTGTGTAATCATGAATAAACAATGGTATTTTTCCTGCCTGTTCTCTATAGGGATTGGTGGTAATCTAGTAGCAATTCAAGCCAGCAGAATTTCGACTTATTTACATTTACATAGTGTTCCTGGAGAATTACCAGAAGAAGCCAAAGGCTGCTGTTATCCATGCAGAACATTTTGTGGCACAGGTACAAGCTGTGTTGCTTTTTCTTTACGTTCTGATTTGTCTCTCCCAGGTACTATTTATAGTACTTTAAGAAAATATTATGATTAAAGATATTGGTAGGCAGCCATATTTCATTTTCGGAGGTTTACTGATTATATCGTACATAGCATATTCCTTTATTAGAGTCAAGCACAGCATTCAAAAAAAAACATTGAATAAATGCCTCTATTTCATTTTTCCTATATGCAGCATTGTTTCTCAAAGGTGGTAGGACTTCTATTTTTTTTAAAGAAAAGCAAATGTAAATGTAGTTACTAGCATTAGTTAGAAAGTGAGCTTAGTTCCACAATCGAAAAAATTTCAGAAAAAGATTGTTCTTCCAAAAAGGTGCTTTTCAAAAGGCAACTGAACTTTCTTGGATTTTTTTCATTGAAAACATTTCACTTCTCAAAACTGAGGAAGATTCTTGGATGAGAAGTGAAATGTTTTCAAGGAAAAAACCAAAAAACGTCCAGTTGCCTTTTGAAAAGCACCTTTGGGACAACCATGACCTGGATGATTGAGAATTTCCATAGGCGAAAATATTGTTTGCTGATTTTTAAATTTCCGCAGTCTGTACAGAAAACCCTTTGCTGGATTTTTTTTTTCATGACAGTAAAACGTCATTTCATCATTAAGACCAGGATATTTAAAGAAGCTAGTTCCTTTGATTTTCAATACGCTGCACATGATAATGATTCAGTCATTATGACATATTAAACCAAATGTACCCAGTCATTACTTGTGCCTTTTTAACCGACTGGCTTCTTTTGCATCTGTTACGTTTTGTTTCTCGTTATTTTTTTTCAAAACCATAGAAACTAATGAACTAATAATGTGGTTTTATTACCGAACGAAATATCAGTAGCTTTCTTATTGACAAACAGTGTTACTTATTCTTATTTACAGGAGTAAATAATAAATCAGCTCAAGTTCTTCTGCTGTTGGTGATTCCTGGGCATTTAATATTTTTGTATACTATCCATTTAATGAAAAGTGGTCACACATCTTTGACACCCATCTTCGTTGTGGTATATTTGTTCACAGCGCTTCTACAGGTAAAGTTAAAATTTTTTAAAAATATTATTTATTGATTTATTTTCAAACATTGGATGTAACAATTCATCCCCCTTTTCATTCGCCACTGCTCAAAATGGTATCACAGTGATATTTTATGACAGTCATCCCCAACCTTTTGGGCACCTGGGACTGGTTCTGTGGAGAGAGGTTTTTCCACGGACCGGATGGGGGGGTTGGTTTTGCCTGCTGCCTTTGTCCCACAGATGGGGCTTCGTTTGTGCAGCCTGGTTTCTGGCCCAGTGGCAGTCCACGGACCTGGGGTTTGGGACTCTGCTTTATGATTATCGTGAATTGGTAAAGAAAATTCAGTGTTTGCATCTTTAGTTTGGAAGGATTCATGGGGTACAATACAGCACACTCACATTTTATAAAGAATTATGTTGTATTAAAAATGTTTTTATCCTTTTGTATTATTCAGTTCTTCTGTCCATTATATTTAGGTCTCATTGTTCTTTTATTAGCTACATTAAAATCTGTTCTCAAAAATTAAGAAGCAAATACTGTAGCTAAACTGTACACAACTATATCAAGATCTGATTCAACAAGCCTTAATAGCATTTATGATGGTGGCAGCTTAACACTGACATGTCAATTCTTTATTTCATTAGTTTTTCAATTCATTTTAATATTAATTTGCATCCCAGTCCTAATTTTTATCTGTGTTCAATATCTTAAAGAAGCCAGAACATAAAAACTAGAATGTTGACACGAAAGTAACTGTATTTAACTTACAAAAGATTTGAGTTTTTAAATGTCCTACAAACCCTATGAAAACTTTAAAACTGCTGAATGTACTTTCCAGTATAATTAATCAGCTACACAATTTGGGGCTGTACTGTTCAAAGAGATGTAACACTTTTATTCCTGTACCTTCTCAACATTTGTAGATTCACTATGAAATTGGAAGTGAAGATATCGTGATTTTTGTAAGAAATTTAAATAGCCAAATTTAACATAGTTTAATTTTATTCTTCTATCTACCTACCTATCTACCTACCTGTTTTTTAATTTTTGGATGAAAGGTCTTAAAATGTAAATGGTCTCAACATATGACCTCAACAGACTAGACTTGTCTGGCTTCAGAAGTTAAACAGGATCAGGCCTGTGTAGCCCTAGGATGGAGTAGAGCAGGGGTGTCAAACTCAAGGCCTGCAGTCTGTATCCAGCCCATGTGGTGCTTAGATCTGGCCCGTGGGGCTGCCTTAGAAACAGTGAAGGACCAGCCTGCGGTGCCTCTGCCAGCAAAAATGGAGCGGCCCTCCCGAGCTCCGTTTTTGTTGGCAGAGGGTTGCAGAAGGCCATTGCAGCTGAAAATAGAGCTTAGGAGGGCCGCAGACAGGCCTCTCCAGCTCCATCTTAGCTGGCAGAGGCTGCAGGAGGCTGTTGCAGCCAAAAACGGAGCTTGGGAGCACGTTTTCACTGGCAAGAGCGCTCAGGCCACCACAGGTGCCCCCAACATGAGTGATATTGAAATGGCCATGCCCCCCCCCCCCCCCCCCCCCCCCCCCGAGATCAAACACAATCCAAATGCAGACTTCAATGAAATCGAGTTTGACCCCCTTGGACTAGAGAATACCAAGTTGTAGGCCAAACTGAGAGATAGAAACACAATCCAGGAGAAGATAGGGCTAAACCACTTCCATTCTTGATGCCAAGAAAACCTTGTAGTTTTGTCCATGTAGTCGTTAGTTGAGCTCAACTTGAAGATGATTTTACTGTTCAAATGCAAACAGCTGTCTAGGTCACAGATACAGGTTACAGGTAGTCTCGACTTACCACAATTCACTTAGTGACCATTCAATGTTACCACAGCACAGAAAAAAGTGACAGGACCATTTTTCACATTTATGACTGTTGCAGCATCCCCATGGTCATGTGATCAAAATTCAGATGCTTGGCAACCGACTCATATTTATGACGGTTGCAGTGATACCCTTTTGTGACCTTCAGACAAGCAGAGTCAATAGGATAGCCAGATGCATTTAACAACCATGTTACTAACTTAACAACTGCAGTGATTCACTTAAACAATTGTGTGCAGAAAGGTCATAAAATGAGGTAAAATTCACTTAACTGTCTCACTTAACAGCAGAAATTTTAGGCTCAGTTGGGGTTGTTAGTAGAGGAACTCCCTGTAGGGGTCGTTAGTAGAGGAACTCCCTGTATTTCAGCTGAACAAATAATTAGTGCAATATTTTTTTTAAAAAAACACCTATTATTACGGTGTCAAATGGCCTTAGGATGTATACATGATTACCATTACAAGATCAGAGATACCATAATTTACATACTACAGCATATCTTGCTACATTTATGATTCAAGAAATCCCTGACACTGTTTTAAAGCCTCAGTTCAATGAAAATCTACTTATAGTGCTTCCGTAAATAGAGAAAATCATCCATATTCAAGTGATGGATATATTCTTGATAACATCATACATAAATAAATGGATATTCTTGCTTTGAGACCACTACTCATATATAACAGAATAATAGAGCTGAAAAGGGCCTTGAAGGTCTACTAGAGCAATCCCTTGTTCAAGCAGTTGACCCTATTCCATTCTAGACAAATGACTGTCCAATCTCTTCTTAAAAAGCTCTAGTGATGGTGCAACTTTTGAAGGAAACCCGGTTTAATGAGATTCTTTTTTAAAAAGTATAAACAATAGCAAAATAATAGTGACAATAACAATGTATAATTGCCTTGCACAATGTTCAGGTTTTTTAAAGTCTTCATTTTTAGACTTGTCAGCCACATAAAACTGAATGCCAGATTGCAATAACCAAGCCACCCGTTTAAGGATTCAGGCTTTGTGACTTCCAAAGCCTGTCCCTTTATTTCCCCATTTTGGCTAAACCTGTAAATAATTTTCTAATATGTTCACATCCAGGGGTGGGATTCTACCAGTTCGCACCTATTCGATAGAACCGGTTGTTAACATTCTAAGCAGGTCAGAGAACCAGTTGTTAGAAGAAATGACTGGCCTAATCCTGTAAGGAAGGCAGGAAGGAAACATTCTAGTGTTGCTTACAGAAACTGCCTCTCCGTTAACCCTTGTTGCATTCTTGGCACGACTAGGCTTCCTGTCTCAGGAACTTCTCTGAGAGTTTTTTTCCCCTCCTTTGCTGGTACTTTGCTTGTGTGGAGTGACCATTCAAAGTTACAGTGGCACTGAAAAAAGTGACTTATGACCATTTTTCACACTTACGACTGTTGCAGCATTCCCACAGTCATGAGAGGCCAGGCGAGGAGATGCGTGCCTCGATGATATTGAGTTGGCCATGTCCACCCAATCACATGACCACCAAGCCACGCCCATCAACTAAGCCACGCTCACAGAACCGGTTGTTAAAAAATTTGAATTCCACCCCTGTTCACATCCTCATGAGAAATCACAGAACACAGTTGTGTTAAGGCAATATTCTTCTTCAGCAACTTTCAAAATGTGTGGACTTCAACTTCCAGAATCCCATAAGCAGCACACTGGCTGGAGAATTCTGGAAGTTAAAATCCACAAATCTTAAAGTTGCCAAAATTGAAAAACACTATGTTTAGCAGGACTGGAAATAAACAAGTAATGGGGAAATTCACCCAGAACTTTATCTTGGAAACAGAAATTGTCTATTTATTTAAAATCAGAATTGTTCTGCAAATTTTCATGTAAGCTAGAATTCATTAGATTGGCTGCTGATCCTTTCTTACTAAGAATAGTGATCCAAATGTTCATGTGGGAATATTTATCTTCTAATGGTAGCCAGACAGACCTGACTTAAAGCAGCAATTCAACACTACTAAATTTTGAAAAGAAAAATTAATAAAATGATAACATGAGTACCTGTGTGATGGCCTTTCTTGTTGATTTAGCAATATAAAGGAGGCATAATCTCTAAATAAATGGTCATTATCAGATATGTGTGAAGATTAACAGCTAGAAAATTGCAGAAATTTGCAAGTAAACAATTCACTTTAGCAATCAGATCCTGGCACTCTGAAATACCAAAAGACTGATTGGAAAATTGTCAGCTAAGTAATGGGGGTGATTGTGTATCATCAGATAGTCTTGGGTATAAGTAGTTCTTTTGGGGGCTTTTTTAAATATATCACACTCATTGGATGTGTAGAGATGCAAAGACAAACCAGCAGATAGCCTTAGAAGATAGTGTTTCTCTCTATTCAGCTTTCAGAAACTAAATATTATTCTTCAACATAATTTAACATCATTTATTTTTGATAGGAGACAAGAGGATAAGATGAGAAAGAATGCTCCTTGCTGAGAAATGATTCTGCAGTGTAAAACTCAAGGTGGAGTGAGAGCTCAGATTTTTATGTAAGGGATATAGGTTGTGCCTCTGTGTTCTTGTCAGAATTTATAGAAAGAGCAATGGATTAGCTCGATCGGCATCAGACCATGTCTCAGTGAATCACAATCACAATCACTCTACAGATATATATATTTATTTTTAACATAAGCTGTGATAATCAGCATTTTTAAACATCATGTGATATCCAAAAACTTTCTTTTCATTCAAACTAACACGACTGTATTTGTTATGTCCCAGGCATTCCCAATGAATAAAGTTCTAATGGGCTTTTTGAAAATCCCTACGTTATGTCATGTTATTTTAGTTAACTTACGTTTTACAACATTTTTAATCTTCATTTTTCCACTCATACTTTCATCTGCCCTTCCTCACTCCTTGTATTCTCCTACTGCCATATCATTAGTGTTGGACATAGGCACAGAAGTCAGTCCTGACCCACTCAAGTTACTGGAAGGAGAAAATATTTGCCATTACTTAATGCTTAATGCTGGCCTCTCGGTCCTCTAAAATAATGGGGCTAGGTAATAACATCCCATATTTGATATGAAGTAACAGGAGATTGCTCATGTAGGGATGAGTGCTGTTAGTGTTGTCTTGTAGGGTTTTTGAAGAATAGGAGATTAACAAATGTTTGATTAACTAATGAAACTTTAAATGGCCAGTATTGTCTGTCTTGGAAAAAAGAGGAACTGTCTCAAAAAATCCTATTCTGGGGAAAAGAGAGGTTTTCAAATATATTTGGATTACAGAGTAGCACACTGAGCACACATATAATTAGCTTAGGCTCACACCTAGCACACATATAATTAACTTAGACGACATAGTGACTTTTTCAGTAAAGATGTTTATCTAAATAAATAATACATGTTACTTCTTTAATGGAAAAACTAGAAAGAAACTTGATAATTTGAAAATCATGTAGCCATATGGATATTTTCCTTTGTAGCATAAAATCAAACGTTCTATGCGTTTTGAAGCATTAAATTATTTCAGGGTGTTAATAGTTAACATGTTTCTGATTTGGGACTTTGATTACTTAAATTATTTTTAAAGAAATATGAACTTTCAGACTGGTCTCTAAAATATTGTGTCACATACAAAGTTTGCAGAGTTTTAAATTTGTTTCTGCCTGTAGAAATCTATAGAACTCTAGGTTGAAAATATAATTTCCCAAGGGATTAAATTAGTTTAAATTATAATTAAACTAATGTTGATTGTTTAATTTAAGCAATTCCTGTAAAAAGGTAAAGAACAAGGAAATTATTATTAGTATGATTATGATTCGTCACACAGTCAGCCAGATGTTTGGACTGGATTTGGCATATTTAACTACCTATTGAATTCTTTCCAAGGATCTGGGATATACAGAAATTGTTTTTTATTATTATTATTATTATTATTATTATTATTATTATTATTATTATTATTATTATTATTATTATTATTATTA